CCTCCTCAAAATGGACCTGAGCCTGCGATCACTTGGAGACCAATAACTGGCCAGTGGATAATAAAAAAAACGTCACCTCTATGGGTAGGTACTTTAAACCTCTATGAGTTTTACATCTAAGTCCGTGATAAAGTAATTGCGACCCATGGTCATGGTCAGCGGATACCTTTTTGTCCTTAAGTTAACACAGACTGTCTATATCGTGGACGATATAGGTAGTAAGTGTGAGATTTCACATCTGCTAGCATAGGGTCCGGACGTACGTCCGGACTGTTTTGCGCAACCAAAATGTTTTCAATGCATAACCAAATTTTCTTACCCATGGTGCTCAGTGGCTGGCGCTTCGCTTGCCCGCGAGATCACCGCTATAAACTCATCGTTACCAGGGGCACCCAACCACGGTTTCCTCCTAAATACATTGCAAGCACTTTTTATAGGCTATCCTGAGTACTTTTAGGTATCTACTAGTTATCCTAGGGGAACGTGAGTCTTTTCGAAATTACCAGGGCTTCAGTAGTATTTTCCCGAAAGTTTTAGATGCAATTGAACATATTGAGAAGGAGAGAATTTTTCTGATTCCTCTTTGCATCACAATTTTGAGTCCGAAAATTTTACGGTTTCTTTTTTCTAGAAAAAAAAAACCTAACCCGAGGGGTGACCTGTGAAAAATTAAGCTTCAGAAAATCGTAGGTAATTTATTGTAGTACTCAGCTGGAACATTCTTCCTACGTCTGTATGCTGATGACACAACGCAATATATAGCCCATGAGAGCCCCTGCACACTTGAATCTACACTGAATCAAGACATAGATTAACTCTCTGGTTCACTGCGAATTACCTGCAAGTAAACGCTACTAAAACTCAGGCAATGACACTGGGGAAATCTCAGTACCCATACGATCTTTTTATTGGTGACAAGTTCATCGAAATTGAACCAACTCTTAAGATTCTTGGCGCTACATTGGATCGGGATTTGTCTTTCAAGCCCCACGTTGCAATCATGCTGAAAAAAGCGTATGCTAAGATAGCCGCAATTACGGGAGGATTGAGCGCTTGGTTCCTTCGGACGTTAATTATGATTTTTGTTACGGATGATACGCTGCGACTGTAGGAGAAGCCAATTGTCACGCAGCTAAAACTACTTGTGGCGGTAAAACTCCGTGAGAGTATATTATAAACAGTATGGCTATTAAGTATGGCTAACAGGTGACATTTTACTAACATTCCAATCATATTTTCATTGTTGTAGCTGTTCCGGTATAAAAACCTTGCCAAAAACGCGAAAAAAGACCAAAGAAATATACTTATTGAAATACATGAATAATAAATTTGCCAGCTAGAATATTAGACTAAATATACTGCATGAAAGGAGTTAAATCAACATACATTTGGGTATGCAGGAGTAAAGAAACCTTCCCCAAAACAATAATGGTTGCTTCCTGCGGATAATACCATACTAAGAAACTAACAAAATAAATCTGAGAACGGACTACGTTTGCAAAGGCACGAAAACTAAGGAAACTAATTAGAAACGAAATTCCCACGCAGAACTAAAGGTAAAACCTACTTGAAACTCAAAAAGGCGTACTCACGTAATTGTGCGAGATACTGAGTATTACAATAACTTCTTGCAGGAATATACTTTATGAGTCGCCAGGTAGACAAAACTACAGAAGATAAAATGTACTTACATATCGGTTCCCGCTTGTCTCTATGTCCCAAGAAATGAACTATCCAAGTAGACTACAACGATGTACACATGAAGACGACAAAATCCAACTAAAGCTAAAGTTAAGAGACCATCCGTTTTCTACGTTAAAATAGGCGTTGTCTAAGGAAATGAAACTAGCGAATCAGAAAAGCTTAGGGCGAGAGATATCGTATCACTAAATCAATAAAGCTTGTTGTAATGTCATTTATAATTTCTCTTTATAAAGCCTATGTGTTACCGCATTTAGAATACTGTTGCCCACTTCTTCTGGGTATAACTAAGGCCCAGTTCAGACGTCGTGCTTCTGCCGTGCCGAACTTAATTGTAATTCGGTTCGTCTGTAGCACGGCAGAAAACAACTTTGATTCAGACGTCGTGCCAGAGTCGAACCAAATTCAGGATTTACTGATGCCTCGCCCGGTGCCTCGTAACAATTCTCCTCCTAACTCCCCGTGGGAACGCAATCTCGGCAAAATACATTAATACAATTTATGAATTTTGCTTAGCGCAGCAGAAGCACGACGTTTGAATCGCTGCCGTGCCAGAGCCGTATAGCACGGCAGCGCTTGTCGAACTTAATTACTTGCCGAACTTAATTCAAAAGTTTGATTCAGACACCGTCCTTTTGCCGTGCTTTTGTCGAACTTAATTCCTGAATTTAGTTCGGCACGGCAGAAGCACGACGTCTGAACTGGCCCTAAAGCCTTGAAAAATAACATCGAAAGTACCAATTATTATGCGATCAAGACATTACTAAATCTAGGTAATTCGGCTACCTATGACTTTTGAGCAATACCCTGCAATCGCTTATTCTATTTTTTATAAATGTTTTAAACTAGATGGCCCAAATTATATCTCCCAATTTTTTACACCTCGGGTAACTACATACAATTTACGAGGCAGTAGCTTAAATGTTGTGCAGCCTTCATATAACAGCCCTGTTATGCACAACTCCTCAGCCTTATTTGTACATGATTGCCCACGTGTGGAGTCAGTTACCAGCTGTCACCAAATCTTCGACCACTTTAGCACAATTTCGTGCTCGCCTGAATAATGTTAATTTCATAGGGTACCAGTGTATGAACTGTATATAATTTTATCTATTTTTACATTTTTATATACTCTTGGGCTAGTTTATAATTAGGATTAGTCCATTTTAAACTATTTTTAATGCATGTACTTAGGTTTTTAGGTTTTTTCTTTTTTTCAAGAAAAGTTTCTTGAAACATTTTCCCAAAATTACGATGTACGTAGTAGTTAGGTTTTTTATGTTTGTATATGCATAATTCACATTTTATCTTGTTTTGTATTTTTAGTTTCTCGAGCGCTTTTAACACGAGCCTCTGGCTTGGAAGATTGTGCAAACACTTCGACATTAAATAAATTATTCTATTCTATTCTACTGATAAGGGGACTTTTTTAGGCACTCCTTTCGTGTGCGAATGAGGCTGAACACATTTGGTGTTCTCAAACTGCGATCAAGGGAAGAAAGCTTCTATCGAGAGATTTAAAATAGAGAGCACCCGTATCAAGAAAAAAATATTTTTAGAGATCGCTAGTGGGGCGTGCAGCTGGTACAGGCTGAGTGAGAACCACTTTGAAAATCAATCTTCAAAAATCTACAATAGCTGCATAGCAGCTTAGACTTGCATTTTCAGTTAAGTAATTCTACTTAAATTTCTTTTATATTGAAGCGTTCTTTTTCTGTCTTTATTTTCTTTCCTTTATTTCAATAACTGGAGGTTCATTAATTTTGTCTCATAAACTCCTTCATTTTGCGTATTATATGAATCGCAAGACGTAGTTGAGAAAGCTTTGTGTTATACGGTTTTCTTTGATGTGTAAGGATTCACGAGGTATTTTTTTAAAAATTCTAATTATATTATCGCTTATCAGAATAAATTGAACGCGTCAACTCGTCTTGTTTTATTTCTTTAACAATGTCGAAGATCATCGACGAAGACAGACGATAATTTGTAAATGTTTAGTCTCTATCGAAGGCGGCATTAATGACTGGATAAAATAAAAAAGGGGTGTAAAAAAGAAAGAAATTTTTTAGAAAAGTTTAACTAGTCAACCTTGCTGCAATGTCAAGCTTTTGAGTCCAAGTCTTTTTGGAATGGTACTGTAGTCTTTAGAGTCAGAACTCGCCAAACGTACTTTATTGTCGACATTGACAAATAATTGTTTGTTCCTTTTCAGCTTTTCAAGTCAAAATAATTTACTATTTAACATTTTAATAGCTTTCTGGGCTTTCTAACATTGACATGCTTTCAAGAAAAAACTCCTAATATGCAACAGTCGTCGGTAATACGGCTCCAACAAAAGCGCCATTCAGGCGCCTCTGTTCAAATAAATACTACTGAATTAATTTCGTCCATGGATTAAAAAGTTCGTTTTACTAATTAGTACTAGCCATAATGTTCTCTATGGGTGAATCGAAAGAGTTACCAACTCGACCCATGAGAATGCTAGGCTTTGCTATTATTATTGTTATTTTTATTATTATTTGGTTGTTTCTTTGGTTTGTTTTGTATCAGATTTTTTTTCTGTATATAAACCTCGTTTTGAATAAAAAAAAGCCCATTTGCTGAAAAAGTGAAATTGCTTCGCGCAGGAGAAAAAGACTTATCCGTTTCATTGTTGTTTGTTTGTTTCTAAAGACTGCCCATGAGTCATTCTAAAATTCTCTCCCTTTCTTTAACATTTTTTGGTCGACCAAAACTGTTCCAGGAATGGTCTAACTCATAACCTCCGAGGTGCTTGCTTGTGGAGTCTCTTCTTCTCGATTTTCGCAGAAGGGCTGCCGAAGAAGCCCTTAAATACGTCGTAATCTGAAATGACACGCTTGAGCAAGGTCAGCTTTTGATCCTGAACATCGAAGCATGCCTACATTTACTTTAAGACCGCACCACAAATTAATTTAAACTTGACACATTTAAAAGAGGATGCGACTCAAAACCCCCTCAAGCACCAATGTTTAACCTTGAGTAAACTTGGCATTTAACTGCCAGCCATGAAGAGACCCTAAGCACGAGTGAAACATCAAGCACAAATCGCATACATGAAAACTCATGCCAACTAAAAACTTCGCAAGACAAAAGTTTAAAACAACCTACAAAATACGTATTCTTCGCAACAAGATTTGAGCAATGGCAAAATGCTCGGATCAATTTCTTTTGCACCTGCATTTGCAGTACAACAATGAATATTTAAGTGGCTCGACCCAGTATTTTTACACATCTTTGAATCTATTACACTGAAACAAATTGATCTTTATTGTAAAACCATTAAAACACATGTATTACAAATAGACTGAACTTTATTATGATATTATGTTTTGGGCGATCGGAATATATATCACGTGACAATGAGGTCAGAACAGTTTTGGCCCTAAATCGAATTTCTGCCCTTATCGGCATTTTCTTGGAAATGCCGATAACTTTACGCTACGTATACTTTGGGTGCTTGTCTTTTGATGTGTGAAGTTTCACAAAAATCTATAAGAGGAATTTCGAGATATCTTTGAATTTCTACAAAAAGGATATAAAATATGCATGGATTGTGCTGGATTTAATGCTGGATTTAATGCAGACAAATTTTCTTTCGGAGGTTCCCGAACCGTTTTTATAACTCATTCGTTTTGCAAATGACCTTTATACACTCTACAACCGGCTAAAAGCAAGTAGACTTGCGCCATTTTCAGAAAACATGAAAACATGTGAATCAGTCAAACACAACTGAAGCTAAGCTCTTTTTGTAATTTCTAAGGCTATTTTCACGAAAACAGCGATTAAACCAAAATTCGTCGATAGATCGAATTTCAGTGCTGCAATTGATCAGTGTACTATAAAATCCCTTAATTTCGAGTCCATTGAAAACTGTTTAAGTTGTCTAACGTAGGCGCAAAATTAAGTAAATGTTAAAGCGATGTCATAGATCTGGCTCAGTTTTTGCTTTCGGATTTCCTATTCCAAATTCCCATGCAGCAGGCGCGAATTAAAGGTGCCTGGTTGCCCTCTGAAATCTTTCAGAAGAATGGTAATGCTGCAGAAAGGAAGAAAACAATAGGAAATAGATTGCGGAGGGCAATCAAGCGCGGTAAATTCTCGCGTGCTGCATGGGTATTTTGGAGCGGGGGTTGGGGTTGCGTTTTGGGTTTTAAGTTTCTCTGAATCTTAGCACTCTCTTAGTCCGTTAGTCGGAATGTGAAGTGACCGTCCGGCCAAAACCGCTTTTGAATAGTTTACCGTTCAATAGTCGGTTTTCGTTAATGAATCTCCTTGAACAAGGGGAAAAAGCAAAGAAAAACAGTATTTCAAAATATGACCTTTTAAATTGTAAAAGAGTTGCAGTCAGGATAATTAATCAAAATAAAAACGAAAGCAGAATTGCGAATCAATACTTCGTAGTGAAATAATGTAGAAAACTAGTGTTTTCCTCATATAAGTAAAGTCGTTTTTTTGCGACTGTAATGAATTAATTACAATTACAATTAATAACATGTCCTTTCAATTTGACTGGTTGTGGTGGTATAATAAGGAGAATGGTCCATTTACACTTTGATTAAGGTACATTTTGATCATTATTATTGTTTTAACATCCGGCCAATCTTAATTATACAGAAACCTTTTGGCTTTAGTTGATTTTTTGGGTGTTTCTGTTGTTATAAGAAGTTGGATGGTCGTTTTACATTTACTGATCTATAGATACTTAGCGTTCTTGGTCATATTATTTCAACATCAAGCCAATCTTAATTATACAGAAACCTTTTAGTTTTAATTAATTGCACGTTTGTTGTCACTGGTGTTTGTGGTATGTGAAGAATAATGGTCAATTTACATTATATTGTTCTGTAAACACTTTATACGCACCTGACATTATTTTGATATTCGGGGAATCTTAATTATATAGAGGCCTTTTCCTTTTGCCTTTTTTTGTAATTTTCTATTTTAATTGATGACATGTCTTTTCCGATATGTTTTTAAAAACACTCCGGCTGTCTCTTCGACGATAGTAGGGACGTGAAAACATGCATGCACTAGTTTGTGGCATGTTTTTCATCTGACGTCCTGATGCTGTGAGAAATTGAACAAAGTTTACACTAACTGTTCTACTATAATTCCGCTTTACAAAAAAACTTATCGCGCAGTCCACTAGGTTTTGCCCTTTTTCATAAAAGCTAAAAGCAATTATTATCTTTAAATGCCACTGAACAAAAACATCAGTAATTGCTTTTAAATTTTTCTAGCCACGGTGGCTAATAGAATTAGTCCACTACCATCTTAATCGAACTGCATGCCTCTACATATACTGGGAGATATCGCAGGTTCATTGCGACCACATCGTTGAGAATTACAAAGAAAGTATCCTTCGCTCTTTAAAAAGGCTCCGAGTCATAGCGACATGTTTGAAAATTTCAGCTCGACATTTCCTGTCAAAAACCAGTCTGGTGTGGGGAGCATTGATGATGGGGATTGCCAGTTATCGAAAGATTCCAGTGCAGAGAAGGTGATCAAGGTGTTTGCTTATTTCTCCATTCTCCTGGTTTCTTTAGTTGGAAATACTCTTGTTATCGTGGTTGTTTACAAGAATAAACATCTTCGTAAGTCGATTAATTATTTTGTATTCAACATGGCCGCCTCTGATCTTCTCATGTCGTTGACCATTATGCCAGTAAGGATAGGGAAGATTGTTACCGGATCCTCTGCCTTTATGGTGGACAGTCCCTTGTTAGTGGGAAACATCTTGTGCAAACTTTGCTACTTTCTTCCTGATGCCTCTGTTGT